CTCCCCCCCCCCCCCCCCCCCCAATATGAAGGGTGTCTCTGTCATATCTTACATTACTCATTTGGAAAATTGAAGTCTTATGGAATATTCTTATTTTCTTACTCAAATGTACAGGATGCATACATACTGAATACTAGAATAATTATATAGAAAATAGTAGCGCACCTGGAAGACTGCCTTTTGTGAAAGAAATTAAAGTGCGCATGTAATTTCTTGTAGGAATTTTCAGTATTTTGGACATTCTGTCCTGTGTTTTTAGAGCTCTAGAATGGTGACAAAACAGAATGGATGAAGAATAAAACTGAGGGAACTAGATAGTTCCTTTAAATTTTCTCAGAACTTAATAACTTGTAGTTGATTATGGAGATACACAGACTGATAGGTATATTCAGAGAGGAAAATGGTGCTACAAAGATCCAGTGTTAATGAAAATCAGCTGAAGGAATGTTGTGAAAGAGAGATTAAAGATGAAAACCTGAGCTGTTATTTGGACATTTAGACACTGTGCATGATAGCTACCCTAATCAAGAATGAAAAATGACTATGGCAGTTTTTACATTGGACATGCTTCTAATTATTTTGTTGTTCTCCAATGATCTGGACTCCATATGCAATTAAACAGATTTTCATGAATTATTCTGAATGCTTGTGACCTTCCTGAATTTAGTATTAAGACATCAGTTAGTGGAGATCCATTTATGGATCCCCTGCTTACTTTATCTGGAGATGATACCCCTGTCATCCAGTACCTCTGAAGCTGTTCTGTTAAGTGTGGTTTAGATGCAACACTCCAGGGTTTGCCTATTACAATATTATTTGGCTTGTGTATAGGTTTTTTTTTTTGTTTTTTTGGTTTTTTTGTTTATGTATGTTCTCTCTCTTCGCTTAAAAAAGCAGTGCTGTTTCATCGACCTCATTGGACTTACAGAAAAGCAGATGCTTAGCTGATAACTTTATATACTATACTGTACTCTTTGCTGGGTAAAAAACTGACTGGGTGGCTGAGC